ACAGCGCCACACCAGGACTGCATTATAGGGTTTTCAGCAGTCCTCTTGATGGAAGCAGACTGGCACATCTGCAGAGTGACTGCTGGGTTCCAACCACCAACACGTTTTGTTAAAATTCACTGACGTGTTAGGTTTGTCATATATTTGATTGTTTAATTTTCATAACGCGATTTGGAGAAAAGAGTTTATGACTGTTTTAACAGATGACGAAGTTGAGGCTCAGAGAGGTTGTGTGATGTGCCCAAGGTCACACAGCTAGTAAGTGGCCAGGCTACAGCCTTTGTCTCCAGAGCAGAGCCTCTTCCTCCCCCTGAAGCGCAAAACTCCTGTGCTGCGCATGTAGATAGAAACCTGATCATCCTGCAATTAAAGGCGCTTTTTACTGCGCGCCATTGACATCCGCATTGATGTCTTTGAGTGGAAATGTTTCAAACCTAAACTGTTAACCCTGGGTATTGGGTTTTTCCTCTTCTTCCGCCTCAGGTCTTTTTTCAGATTCTGCCTTTTTTTTTTGTCGTTTTAATCTGGTTGCTCACACGACAATGGTGAATGACCTGGGAGTAATTTTCCTCCTTAATCATTCAAGTCCTATCATTCTAAAAGCCAAACTCTCCTTCCTGGAGACCTGTACCTCAGCAAGGATTAGCACTTTGATACATCTGAAACCATCTGTCAGAGAGAAAATATTGGGCATTAGAGGCTCGTTTTGTTCTCCAGGAAACCTGAATCATCTTGAAGATGGAAGAGGGCCAGCCCTGCCCCTTGAGAATATTAACGGAGGCTGAAAGCTGGGCGATTTGAAGGCAAAAGCTCGGTGTAAATGTTCTCCCCATTACAAATGCTACATTTGGTGTCTAGAGGCAGAGCGTGTTTTAAATCTTACACCTAAGATTTTCTTGTAGCTTTTTCATCAACCAAGACTGAAGCTGCCCCAGTGTGCATTCTGCCCTCCAATCTATCAGTGAGCAATTTACGTGGTGGTCAGCTAAGGGTCAGTGAGGGGCTATCTAAAGGCTTGAATAGCCCTTCCTCACCACATCCCTGACCCGGGCAGTTTCAATATGGCTTGTGGTGGGGTGTGTAGAGTCAGCCCTGGGCTGAAAGCCTCTTCTTTCTCCTGTGGAGCGATTGAATTGGTGGTTCTGAGGTTGTAATCTTACCGAAGCAGAAAGTCTAATCTTTCCCCTGTAGAATGGTTGGTTTTCGAACTGCTGACCTCAAGGTTAGTGGCCCGACTCATGCTACCAGAGCTCCTTGCGTTGTGCTATGCTGTTATTGTTGTTGTTGTTATTAAGTGCCATCAAGTCGGTTTCGGCTCATAACAACCCTGTATAGGGTTTCTAAGGAGCAGCTGGTAAGCTTGAACTGCCAACCTTGCAATTCCAATGGCTTTGCAGTCCGGCGCATTAACCCACAGCGCCACACATATGCCATATATAGTACAGCTTAAACCATTGCTGTTGTGTTGATTGCAAACCAGCTCTCTTGTAGGACAGAGTGTTGGTGTTGTGAAGTGCCATCGAGTCGGTTCCGACCCATAGTGACCCTGTATAGAGTTTCCGAGGAGCAGCTGGTGAGCTTGAACCACCAACCTTGCAGTTCAAATGGCTTTGGAGTCTGGCGTCTGGCGCATTAACCCACAGCGCCACACCAGGACCCCGTAAGACAGAGAGAGAGGTGGTGGTGGTGGTTATGTGCCCTGGACTCGGTTCCAACTCATAGCGACCCTGTACAGGGTTTCCATAATTCTTTACTGGAGCAGAAAGCCTCATCTTTCTCCCGTGGAACGGCTGGTAGTTTCGAACTGCTGACCTTGCGGTTCGCAGCCCAATTGGTAACCACTACGCTACCAGAGCTCTTGTCTCCTAGTTAGTTGTTTTGTTGTTATGTGCTGTGGAGTCGGTTCCAACTCATAGTGATCCTGTACAGGGTTTCCGAGGCTGTAAATCCTTACAGGAGCAGAAAGCCTCATCTTTCTCCTGCGGAACCGCTGGTAGTTTCGAACTGCTGACCTTAAGGTTCGCAGCCTGATTCGTAACCACTACGCTACCAGAACTCTGACGGTTTTTATTTAAGTGCAGCCTTGGAAATCCCCTAGGGCAGTTCTACTCTGTCCTGAGTCGGAATTGACTGGACAGATGACAGTGGGTGGAGCTGAATTTGGGACCCAGGGGTTCTGCTGTGGATCCCATTAAATAAGTTTGAGTTACAAAGACAGGGTCAGAGGCTCTCTGCTGGGGGTGACCCCGTACTCCCCACCAGGGCATTTGGCTCTATCTGCATGCATTATGGTTGACACAAAGAGGAAGTGAATGTACTACTGGCATCTTTTGGGTAACTGCCAGGCATGCAGCTGAACTTTCTCTATGGTACAGAGCAGCCACGAACACATAGAATTACCTAGTCCAAAAGGTCAGTGGTGCCAAGGGTGGGAAATCCTGCCCAGGTCAGGTGACCACATGGGGGTTTGTGCAGTGAACCCCAACCAGAGCCTCTGGGGTTACTCCAGAACCTCTGGTTGTCTGAGAGATTTTCAGCCTCCGAAACCGTGTGGAGCAGTTCTACCCGGTCCCATGGGGCCGCTGTGAGTCACCTCGGCAGTGGTAGGCTTTTGGGTTCTGTATGTATGCCATGTTGTACTGGATGGCTGCCTATGCCTGTTTACTTTCCTGGTTCCGTTTTAATTACTTTGGCCAAATCTCATCTGGGAATCGTAGCTGAATCTTCAAACGTGGGTAATACTAACTTGCTCTGGTAGCATAGTGGATACCAATCGGGCTGCTAACCTCAAGGTCAGTGGTTCGAAACTACCAGCTGTTAGAAAGATGAGGCTTTCTGCTCCTGTAAAGATTTGCAACCTCAGAGACCCTGAGCAGGGTCACTATGAGTTGGAACCAACTTCGTGGTACTTAACAACAACAACACCTATTAAAGGGGCACTGGTGGCACAGTGGTTAAAGCTTTTGGTTCAAACCCACCAGCCATTCCATGGGTAAAGGACGAGGCACTCTACTTCTGTTACGGTTTACAGGGTTGCTATTAGTCACCGTTGACTTAGCAACAATGGCTTGGTTTTCAGTGTTGTTGTTAAGTGCTGTCATGTCAGTTCAGACTCAGCGACCCTGGGTAGGGGTCCCAAGGCTATAAATCTTTATAGGAGCAGACAGCCTCATCTTTCACCCATGGAGCAACCCGTAGATTCAAACTGCTGAGCTGGTTAATAGTCCAGTTTGTCATCCGTTTCGCTACCAGGCCTCCTTCCAACACATCTATGTTGTTGTTAGCGCTGCTGAGTCAGTTCCAACTCATTGCGACCCTCCATAGGGCTTCTGAGGAGTAGCTCGTGGATTTGAACTGCTAACCTTATGGTTTGCAGTCCATTGCTTGTCCTACAGTGTCACACCAGGATTGACTTCACATATGTTCAAATCAAACCAAATGAATTGGTGTCTGGTGGACTCTGGCTCCTGGTGACCCTGTGTATGTCAGTAAACTGAGCTACCGAGGGCTTTTAATCACTGATATTTTGAAAGTAGATCACCAGGACTTTCTTCTGAGGTGCTTCTGGGTGGACTGGAACACCAACCTTTGAGTTAACAGAAATGTGTTCACAGTTTGCACTTTAATTCTCAAAACCCTTTAAAGTGGCTGCCTTATGAACATCACCCCCAGTTGATATTAGGGACTTTGAAAACTTCCATTATAGTTTCATTCCATTTTCCCACAAAAAGCCCCCTCATATATGGGCAAGCTGAGGTACGGAGCAGTTAAGCTACTTGCGCAGACTTGCTGAGGTGTGGAGCAGTTAAGC